AAACATATGCCCTGGAAAAGGACAAAATGTGTGGAGAAGCATTAAAGTGGAGTGAGCTGAAACTGGAATTTCTGATTGATCAAGAGAACTGTTTACCAAAAAGTGTGAAAGCTGATTTGATCTCTGAGAACCTGAGAAAATGCCAAATCAATGATTCACATGTGATAGTCCTCTTCACAGATAGCAGAGGGATTCTCATAGGTGTTGTCGAGTGCCACTGTGTCTGGTAGCTTCCAGCTTATCCACAGAAAAAGCCAGAATTTCATAATGGATTACTGGTTGCGTCACATCAGAGGGTTAAGTTGGGAAAGGTGATGAAATCCACCTCTCTGCAACTTCTGGAGTTATTTAACTTAGATCCTGAGTAGCTTTTATCTAGTATTCTTCTATTGCTTGTTCCCTGAATGCTTTATCTGAATTCAGTTGATTAAATTATTGTGTTTAATTGGGCTTGCAGCTCCTTGTGTGTGTTTTGATTTGTGATCAGCAGTGCTGAGGGTGGCTTTGGTTGCTGGATGTTTATTCGGCTTTTCCAAATGCTGCTGTATGGAAGCATGAAGAGTGCAGGCTGAACTGCCATTCTGAATTGCCCCTACTCACCTTGCAAATAAAGGAGAAATGTAAAGAGAAAAGAAATGTAAAAGGAGAACATGCAGGTCACTTCTCACGTTACTGTGATTTGGAAAGCCTCCTACAACTGAATTTTCCCTTGAGGTTACCTCCAGTTTTTTGGGGTATTTCAACTGTCATCTGTTATTCAAATCTGTGTTCTCTTTGATTTAGACTTTTTCTTTCATCCAGATGGTGTCTAAATTTGCTGCTTCCTGCATATCTCTGTAGGATGAGGTCCTGGCCCTGTAGAGGCCAGCTGAGGATTTTAAGATTATTTTAATGAAAGCAGGATTTTACTTCTGGTACCTTTGGCTGCGTCCACATTTTCTCACTTTTCATACTGGCAAAACCATTGTCTAATCCTTGCAGCATGATCTGACAGTATCACCTCTTGCTTCTCTTGAAGTGACACCATCCCCATAGAATGCATATGTTAGAGTCACGTCTGTCATGTTGCAGTCTGTTCCTTTAATATCCTCCTTTGGCACTTTCTCTGTCCGTAGGTCAGGGATCCACATGCATTGATTTTGTCTTCAGAACTTTTTTTAGCTTAGTCCTACCCTGGCTGTTTGTTCCAGGTTTGATTCTGCTTTTTTTTCCACCAACAGGAAAATGGTCATGGAAGGAGGGGCTGGCCACTTGGGAGGAATATAAGGCTGCTGCTAGAGGGTGTAGGAAGGCAGCTAGGAGGACTAAGGCATCCTTAGAATTAAACCTGGCAAGAAGGGTCAAGGACAGCAAAAAGAGCTTTTTCAAATACATGGCAGACAAAACTAACACCAGAGGCAATGTAGGCCCACTGATGAACGGGATGGGTGCCCTGGTGACAGAAGATGCAGAGATGGCAGAGTTACTGAATGCCGCCTTTGTCTCTGTCTACTCTGCTGCAGGCAGTCCTGAAGAGCCCTGTACCCCTGAGACCTTAGATGAAGTCAGGTCGACGGAGCGGTTTGCCTTAGTCGATGAGGAATGGGTTAGAGATCAGTTGAGCAATCTGGACATCCATAAATCCATGGGTCCAGATGGGATGCACCCGTGGGTGCTGAGGGAACTGGCGGAAGTCATTGCTAGACCGCTCTCCATCATCTTTACCAAGTCTTGGGAAATGGGAGAGGTGCCTGAGGACTGGAGGCAAGCAAATGTCACTCCAGTCTTCAAAAAGGGCAAGAAGGAGGACCCGGGTAACTATAGACCGGTCAGCCTCACCTCCATCCCTGGGAAAGTGATGGAACACCTTATCCTTGGTGCCATCTTAAGGCATATCAAGGATAAGAGGGTTATGAGGGGCAGTCAGCATGGCTTCACCAGGGGGAAATCATGTTTGACCAATCTCTTAGCCTTTTATGAGGAAATAACACGGTGGATGGATGATGGCAGGGCGGTGGATGTGGTCTACCTTGACTTCAGCAAAGCATTTGACACAGTCTCCCACAGCATCCTCACGGCTAAATTGAGGAAGTGTGGACTGGATGATCAGGTAGTGAGGTGGACTGCAAACTGGCTGAAGGAGAGAAGCCAGAGAGTTGTAGTCTATGGGGCTGAGTCTAGTTGGAGGCCTGTAACTAGTGGAATGCCTCAAGGGTCAGTACTGGGATCGGTATTATTTAATATATTCATCAGTGATTTAGATGAAGGAATTGAGTGTACTATCAGCAAGTTTGCTGATGATGCTAAGCTGGGAGGAGTGGCTGACACGCCAGAAGGCTGTGCTGCCATCCAGCGAGACCTGGACAGGCTGGAGAGTTGGGCAGGGAATAACTGGATGAACTATAACAAGGGAAAGTGTAGAGTCCTGCATCTGGGCAGGAACAACCCCAGGTTCCAGTATAGGTTGGGAAACGACCTGTTAGAGAGCAGTGTAGGGGAGAGGGACCTGGGGGTCCTAGTGGACGACAGGATGACCATGAGCCAACACTGTGCCCTTGTGGCTAAGAAGGCCAATGGCATCCTGGGGTGTATTAGAAGGGTGGTGGTTAGTAGGTCGAGAGAGGTCCTCCTTCCCCTCTACTCTGCCCTGGTGAGACCCCATCTGGAATATTGTGTCCAGTTCTGGGCCCCTCAGTTCAAGAAGGACAGGGAGCTGCTGGAGAGAGTCCAGCGCAGGGCAACTAAGATGATTAAGGGAGTGGAGCATCTCCCTTATGAGGAAAGACTGAGGGAGCTGGGTCTCTATAGTTTGGAGAAGAGGAGACTGAGGGGTGACCTTATAAGTGTCTATAAATATATAAAGGGGGAGTGTCACGAGGATGGAGCCAGGCTCTACTCAGTGGCAAACAATGATAGGACAAGGGGTAATGGGTGTAAACTGGAACACAAGAGGTTCCACTTAAACTTGAGAAGAAACTTCTTCTCAGTGAGGGTGACGGAACACTGGAACAGGCTGCCCAGGGAGGTTGTGGAGTCTCCTTCCCTGGAGACATTCAAAACCCGCCTGGACACATTCCTGTGTAACATTATCTAGGTGTTCCTGCTCCGGCAGGGGGATTGGACTAGATGATCTTTCGAGGTCCCTTCCAATCTCTAGCATACTGTGATACTGTGAACAGTGCCAACTTCAGCTTTCTGCTTACAAAGTTTTCTCACATGCTTTCCCCAGATCTGCTCTCTGCACATAAGGAAAAACTGACAACCTGTGAAATCGTTGTCTGAACGTTCAGACTCTTTCTTAGATCTCACCTTTGCAGTAATGCATACAGAAAATCACCATCTGCCAAGTAGGTAGTGAGAGGTAATTGTGGCAGGTGGCTGCAGCTAGCATACAGATCTGGTACAGGCTACGTTTGTTATCCCATCTTTTATTTCCTTGCCAACACACCAGTTCCTTTTGTTGCCCTGAATCTGTTGCTTTTAGAGGGTAAGTTCTAACCTGCATGTTTTAAGGAGCCTGTTCACTAATTACCACAAAATAGAGAAGTGGGAAATTCCATTTTAAACAATTATCTACTGTTGCTGTTAAGGTGAAACAAAGGAAATTTCTTTTTGAAATGACTGGGTTTTGGTAGGTGATCTGCCCTGCTTATGATTTATCTGCACTCTTGTTCTTTGCATTGTGCCTCTGTGGACTTGTGAAATACTAATCTGCACTCTCCATCATACAAATGCTGTCTTTTAAAAGCTCTGTTTGTGTTGGAACAGACCTTCCAAGGTCATCTAGTCCAACAACCCCCCAATGAGCAGGGATACCTTCAACTGGATTAGGCTGCTCAGAAGCACATCCAGCCCAGCCTTGAATGTTTCTAGGGATGGCGCATCCACCATCAATCTGGGCAACCTGCTCCAGTGTTTCCCCACCCTCATTGTAAAAAAATGTGTTCCTTATATCCAGTCTAAATGTACCCTCTTTTAGTTTCAAACCATTACCCCCCATCCTACTGCAACAGGCCCTTTTAAAATATTTGTCCCCATCTTCCTTGTAGGCCCCTTTCAGGTACTTTTAGGCTGCAATAAGGACTCCCGAGAGCCTTCTGTTCTCCAGGCTGAACAAGCTCAACTGTGTCAACCTATCTTCACAGGAGAGGTGCTCCAGCCCTGTGATTGTTTCTGTGGCTCTCCTCTATGTGTGCTCCAGCAGGTCCATGTCTTTCCTATGCTGAGGACTCCAGAGCTGAACTCACTACTTCAAGTGGGATATCACAAAAGCAGAGCAGAATCAATCTCCCTTGACCTGCTGTCACGCTCCTTTTGATGCAGCCCAGGATACGGTCAGCTTTCTTGGCTGCAAGCACACACTGCCGCTCATGTCCAGATTTTCATCCAGCAGTACCCCTAAGTCCTTCTCCTCTGGGCTGCTCTCAATGCCTTCATCCCCCAGCCTGTATTGAAGCTGGGGTGTGCCTCGACCCACATGCAGGATTCTTCATTTGCCCTTGTTGAACCTTGTTAAACATGGTCCCACTTCTTGAGTTTGTGCAGGTCCTTTTGGATGGCATCCCACCCATCAGGCTTGTCAACTGCACCACTTAGCTTGGTGTCATCTGCAAACTTGCTGAGGCTGCACTTGATCCCACTATGTCATTGATGAAGGTATTGAACAGTACTGGTCCCATTGAAGACCTCCGAGGGACATTATGGGGAGCTGCTGTTCAGTATGTTTCTGAGAGTAACGTGATGCTTTATGCTGAATTACAACAGGTTCTGAATGAAAAATGCAGTTGGAGTAAAAACTTGAAAATGTTTATCTGCTGTGCTCTTGGTCTGGTTTTTGTACTTCAGAAGCATGCTATGTTAGATTATGTTTCAGTGTTATTTCTGGGTTATCTTAGTTTTCACTTCTTGCTAGTAACCTTAAAATAGTTTCACTTAAAAGATTTCTAAAAAAATAAATAATATGAGCATGGATCATTGCTGGAAAGTTGGAATTAACTGTCTTAATTGTGCTGTTTTTGCAGGACTTCAGGAATATGTTGAGGCGGTCTCATTTCAGTATTTTATCAAAACACGCTCTTTGATTAGTGTTGAAGAGATCAACAAACAACTAATATTTACAGCAGAAGACAGAGAAGAAACAACAAACACGGTAAAAATGTTTCTTTTCTCGTGACAAACATCTTTCTGGAATGGAAATGCAATGAGTAAGCTTAGTCACTTTTTTGGCATCTGATTAAATAAGGCCAGTTAGTGGAATAATATTAGATATACATGTAGACTTTGACTTGTTCAAAACACACTTTTTATTCTGACAAGCAGTAAACTAAATCTGTGGGATACAAGTTTATAAATTTCACATCCTTCTTATTCAGAGCAAGCTGAACTCCTGGTAGAGGGAAGGATCCTGGGTAATGAAATACCAGCAAACAAATACAGAGGAGGGATTTTTAATGTCTGGGACTGCATGTAAGGCCTGCTGATAAGTATCACTATACTGGTGTAATAGTGATGTAGCAAAAGCTGGGGGTAGCAAGTGAATCAAAGGCAGGATGAACTCTGTGAATGAAATCTAACTGCTGGTAACTAGTAACTGGTAACTAGTAACTAGTTACTGCTGGTAACTAGTCACAGAAGGCACTGTATTCACCTTCTGTTAAAACGTACTCTGTGTGTCTTAGCTCCTTTGTAGTCTTCCTGGAGTTGCTCTTGATACTTTCCCGCAGAGGACCATCATACCTTACCCCTAATACTGTATCTGCTGTTTCTTGGCTTGCCAATACTCCTACCCTGCCCTAAATGGAACTTTTTGCATAGGGACAAACTACTGCCACTGATCACAGTAAACTGGGTTCAGTTTGATTGTTGACAGAGCACAAAAAGCAATTTTATAGTGATACACAGAAATGCCCATGCAGTACATGTTCAGTGTACAGTAATGCACAACTTGAGATGAATTCCTGCGTCTGCTTCTGTTGAAGAAATTCTGCTGTAAAGCACTTCTGATTCTTTTTCATTCTCTTGGCAAGATATTTCCAAAGAAGCTATGTTTTCAGCTTAAGTTCATTTGTTCTTACCAGAGGCAAACCCGTCGTGGCGCACTTGTTTTAACAAATTGTGGAATTATTAACCCCTGCATACATGCCTCTGACCAGATTTATGAATCTGGATGGATAGCGTGGGAGCAAGGGACCAGCAATAAACCTGTGTTGTCTCCCACATTCCAATATTTTGGCAATAAAAATCTTTGGAAACATGGATAAAGGAACAAACCTGTAACTTTGTGATGAGTTTTCTTCACGAAGTATTTTTCTAGCTATTTTAATGAGTTCACTTGATATAAAATACATCTGAAAGAGCTATACCTATCAGTTTCTGGTATAAGATACATTTTGAAATTCAAGATATTACTGCAAAATTATATGATTGGTTTTCCTAATGCTGATACTTTGATTCTTGAATGCTTTGATAGCTTTGGATAGACCATTTAGGTAAAATGTAAATCTATTAGGCTGAGACCTATCAGCAAAAAAGAAGAAAATGTAAAAAAAGCAACTGCAAATAAATGTTAGTACACAGACGTGATAATTCTGTTTCAAATAAAGGTAGTAGTAGCAGGGTATGTTTATCATGTTTGCTAGAATGGAAATCTCATTTCCAGTGGAAATGATGCTTTCATACCTTCTGGTATGCTGGAAGGAGGTCCGTACTTCTGAAATCAGACTGTGTGGAAGTGCCATGCAATTTAATTTTCCAGACTGTTTTCAATTACCAGTTATGTCAGATAAGTCAGTGTGTATTTGAACCATTATAGGCTGCTTTTTCATGTTTCTCTGTACTGGACTTTGTCCTGTCCTCAGACCTCAAGTTCCCATGATAAACAACCGCATACTTGGAGCCTGAAGATAACACCTGTTGATTACCTGCTGGGAGTGGCTGATCTAACTGGAGAGCTGATGCGGCTGTGCATCAGCAGCGTTGGAAATGGTGACATAGACACACCTTTTGAACTGAGCCAGTTCTTACGTCAGATTTATGATGGTTTTACTTTCATTGGCAACACTGGACCTTACGAAGTATCTAAGAAGCTGTATACCTTGAAACAGAGTCTGTCAAAAGTAGAGAATGCCTGCTACACGTTAAAAGTACGGGGATCTGAAATCCCAAAGCACATGCTGGCTGATGTATTCTCCACCAAAACAGAATTGATTGATGATGATGGTCTTCCTTAAAATAAGGAGACTGTTGCAACGCAGAAGGAGAGAGGACTTTCTAGTTACAGTTTTGGGGTTCTGACTCTTCTCAAAGCTTTTTAGGTAGAGACATTTGTAGTTTTATCTGAGAGAATATTGTTTGCAGTAGTTAATTTGTAACCGAACATACTTTTTCTGATGTGCAAGAGAACAAATGTTTGACTTTGTCCTTTCAGTTTGGAATTTCCTGTATTGCTCCATTGTATCTTCCTTCAGAATTACCAGGATTTCCACTGCACTCTACACCACTGACTGTCCTTCGTGTGAGTCACCTCAAACTGTTGTGTTTGCTGTTAACAGTTTTTGGCAAGCACAGCAGTGGAATAAAAATGGTGAGGTACTGGTATTTAGCATTATCCATGTATTTCTGCTGACCTGTTTTTTGAGTATTTGGGTTCTAAAATAATGTACCTATCTATGTGTAAGTTCATTCCTTGTCTTGAAACTGAGGTAGTCTCAAAGGTGCCATGTAACTGTAAGTTTTTTCTGATTAATGCTTTTGCAAATGAAACTGAAACTATGTCAACTTTTTGCCAGTTGATAGTGAAGCTAATTGCACCAGGTAAATACTGCTGTGCACTCGTTATTTTTGAGCTCTGTTTAAATTGAGCTTTGTTCAAGTTAACACTGGTACTTCACAGTTTTGACATGAGCTAGAAAATCCACAAAAATAAAATTGTGGAATATATTGGTTTGCATTTTTTGTAATACAGTTTAATGCAGAATCTGACATCTTTCTGTCTGTAGACAAAAGCATAAGGCTTTTCAAGTAGCAGGTTTTGGCCAAAACAAACGCGGTGTGGTGTTGGAAGTCTGTTCTCCATTGTTTGTGCTGCCCTGAGGACCTCCAGTGGGGTTGAACTGGTATAAGTGGGAAAGGGCTAGCCAAGCTTTAAATATCTGTTAGCAGGAACTGTATCATGTGCACGTTCCTATGGAAAGGAAATTGCAAACAGAAATAAGGCATACATTCTGATTTCCACATTTATCTTTGAGGTGAGTATGTCACCACTGGCAAAAAATCAGGGCTTTCTGCCGGTGTCTGAAGTTATGAAAGTCTGATAACGTACATTATGCTAAAGGAAAACAGATAAAACAACATGATCTTTAGACTTCAGGAAATAGGCCTCCCAACTGTAATTGAAAATACTGCATGTTCTTTATTTCCACTTCCATATACTGTGATAGTGCCAATATTTTTCCCATGAGCATGTCCTGAATAGCTGGGACCATCTGATACATGGATAGGAATGGGTAAATACATTTCTATCACATTTTTCCATTGTTTCCACATAAAGCAATATATGGTGGGTTGAACAAGGAGTGGCTTTTTTCCTATTGTTAAATACTATTTTTTACAATAAATTCTAAAAACTAGTCACTGCCTGTACTTGGTCCTTCTGCCTGTTGGTCCCAGCAGCAGATAATGATGTGAGTTTCCCACTGTGCAGGACTGGACTTGTAAGTTTCACTCCATTCCTATGTCCATACTTGGAGGGACACTTTATAATCCTGAATCTCTTTTCTCTTTCTCCCTTAACTTTATTCTGTGAAGTCTAAAAACGAGCTAGGAGAGAAACTTCATGTGATTCTCTTGTATTAAAAAAATGCAAAGGATTCAGATGACAAAACAAGTTTATCACTGGAATGAATCTGTAATGGCATCCATATTTTTACATCTCTCCATGGTTTTCACCTGTTTCTTTTTCTTATGGGAAGAGGGGAAAGAAAGGAAAAGGATTTTTTTTTAAGGATGTTTTTTTTTTTATTTTCTTCCTTCCTCCTCTCCCCCCCTCCCAAATGTAAGCATGCAGTATTTCAGTTGATGCAGGTAAGAGCATATGGTTCTGTGTCTTTTGGCACAGCTATGTTTACTGCAAGTAATTGCTTGCTGAGTGTATGTGTGTGAAGTGAAAGCAGGTATTATTACAGGCATTATGTGATATTAAACAGAGGTCTGTCAGTCTCTTGTCTGTCCTGGCAGCTATCAGGTGGAATTTAAAACTGTTCATGGCACAGTTTGAAAACGGGTGAGATGAACTCTAGCACGTGGCAGTGTGTGGCTGAGTTGTGTTCTGCTTCACTCTGTGGAATGAGCCCACAGCGGCCGCAGCTGTAGTGAAAGAGCTCCTGCTTTTGTACAGTCATTCATTATCTTAAAATTACAGATACCTATAAAGAATACTTTTTCCTTCCCCCTGGCAATCTTTATGTTAGAGGTTTTTGCAAAAAAATACATACTGTTTCTAAAGATTTTGAAAAATAAATTTTCTTTAAGGTGAGAGAGAACTTCTTAATGACAGACATGATTTCTAACCTTCAGGCTGTCTGTCTGGAATCAGAAGCTGTGAATAGTTTCTACTAGGGAGCAAAGTGTGTATGTGGTGTATTAAAACACCAGCACCGATGGGAAATAGCTAATGGCCTGCAAACGTCCTGCTCAAGGAAATATTTTCCCCCAAAAAACAATTACCCTGTAGCTATTTGAAAAGTGACAGACATTTATCAGCAAAACAAGCAATGGCAATTTTCCCATTTCTTATCCCATTACTCTGTGGAGCTATTGATACGCTTGGTCTATGGCCAGTACTGGACTACATCATAGCAGATGTTTCACAAGGGCAGCTCTGCGTGCTAAAGATCGTTTGCTTTTCTACAATCATCTCCTTTCTCAGAAATGATTTTTCTTTACGTGTTAACTTTTTTCCTATTAATTTGCAGTGAGGAAAATAAAGCCAGCCACAATTTGCTTTCCAGAACTGCCAGAGAAGTTATGCAAGAGAAACTTCCTGTTGACAGGACACGTATGTCTGTCTACTTAGAGCCCTGCTTACTTGGATTTTTGGTGAGTTTACTGAAAATCAAAATCAAAATTAAAATAGGACCTTTTATAATATTTAGCTTATTGTGTGCCTTATGGAATTCTATGGACCGGATTCTGGCACTGCCCTCAAAGCATTTGCAATTTAAGAGTAGGCAGAAGAGTAGCCAAGACAAACAAAAAGAAGATGGTAGCAAGGGAGGGGGAGATGAAGTGACAGGATTTTTACCAGAAGACTGTGCGTTGTCGTAGGGTGGTTTACCACTTCCCATTACGGAAAAGAAACTAGTCAGAACTCCAGAAAGCCTGGAGTTGATAGTAAAGGGTTAGCTGGGAAGGGCGAAGGCGGCAGAGAGGCAAAATGGAAGGAAGTGAGGTAGAGACAAAGGGGGGAAGAATGGCAAGGAGTGGGACATCACAGAGGAAGAGCAGGCTGAGCTGCAGGGCAGCGGGTGCACATGGGGGTAGGGTGGGACTGGGGAGGACGTGGGACAGGAAGACAGCCCTGCAAAGAACTAGAAACAACACTTCAAAACCAGGTGACTCAGCTATAAAAGAGATTGGAGTTGACCGAAGAAACTGAATTTAAAACAACCAGATGGTTCCCAAGGCATCTATCTATCCGTGGGTTATAAATGAGGGGAACTTGATTTTCTGAGCAGTGGAGAACCTGCGGATCCAGGACTGAGAAGGGCTTGCAGGCTTCCAGCCAGTCTGCCGCAGATCAACAAGCTCTTAGTTCCCAGCCACCCAACTTCCCATGCATGTTCCCTTTGCTCCTGAATTGGTAGCCACAAACCTCGATGTGTGAACTACCACCATTTGCATGTTAGAGGCATGGTTAGATAGTTTTTCACATACAGGAATGCTTACTTTGACCACTGTTTCCTTGTGTGCTGTTTACTTGTCTGTTTTGCTGTCATTGCTGCTTCAACGCCCTGTTTCTTCCCTTTCTTTACTTATCCTTTCTTAGGCAGTACCATTCTTTTGAGCCATTGCCCATGTCCATCCTAGGGCTCAGTCCTTTCCTGGTTTAGCTGGAATTCTGCGGTAAAATGTCTCCATGCAGGAAGAGGAATTGGTTAGTTTCTTTAGTTTGTCTGTTTGCACCTTCAACTTCAGAAACAGTGCTCTGGCTGTGAGGGGAGAGTCCTGGTACATATGTCCCCGGCCTTGGTGCCATGTGTCAGGATGGATGGATGGGTGGGCAGATCTCATGTTGCTTTTGCAAGTGAGCAAACCTTACTTAGTCTGAGGTTTGCAATCATCATAAGCCAAGGTAAATTGCCTACAAACATAAAAGATGTTTCTTCTCCAGTCCTGCAGAACATTATCTTTGAGGAGTCTGATTTCCCACCAACTCTACCTCTTTTACCTGACTTATTAATCCCTTTGAAAGGCCCATTTGCAGAGCAAAGCAGAGGAGACTTGCTGCTGACTTCTGGAGCCAGTCATGGCTCCCTGAACCATGGCCGTGAGTGATGTGGTGTCTACTTTCCCAGGTCCTCCCACAGGCTGGGCAGGCTGGCACTGGTGTCCCTCCAGCCACCCAGGGGGCCTCAACTCAGAGTCTCCCCTATTGCGTTGTGCAGGCACATGGGTTCATCCTCTTTTTACCCCCCACCTTCTAGTGGTGGTATTTTCATGTCATGCAGATATTCATTCCTCCCAAAGAAAGAAGCTGCTGTGCGTGCTTTGCTCCTCCACTGACATAACAGGTCAGATGGCTTTTTGAGCCCATCATAAACCTTCTTGGCTGCTGGTGCAGTGCAGGTTTTATGGAGCATCATCTGTCTCTGGGAATTTCTCCCACAGCCCTGTACTTTCCTGCCACCTTGCCAGGCCCCTTTTAATCCAAAATGGTCTGAACACTTTAATTCTTCCTCAAGGTCCTCTCTTCTGGAGGCCCCCACAAGAAGAGCTGACAAAGCTACGTGGAAATAGCCCAGGGTTTTACTAAAATGAGCTTTTGCACGCTTGGGGACAGGAACCAGGCAGGCAAAGGATGCATGTGAATAGACCGAGGTGTTTCGATGTCACAGGAATATTGTTCAGTGCTGTCAGTCTCATTTTAGGAGGGAGTGGGGGTTGTTCCTCTCCTTGCAGCAAGGACTGCTGGCTGATTTGCTTTGCGCACCTAAAGGGAGAGGTGACAGACAAGAGATGCAAGGGCTGTGAGGGAAGGTAGGTAAGATGAAAGATCACACAGCACATCAGTCTGGAGCCTCCCCGCACCCAGCAGTGGGCAGCCGGGTCCGGTGTGTGCTGACACCTCGTGGTGCAAAACGGTTCCTTTGCCTTCCCCCAGACCTTTTTCTCCCACTTTTCGGCTCAGCCTTTACGCACGGAGGCTCCCAGTTGATGTGCTGCTAAAGAAACGTTGCTTTACAGGAGCAAAGCAGCGATAAGCAATTGATTTCAATTATTATTACTTAATTTGAGCTACTGCTGCAGTGTCCTACAAACTTGCAGTTACAGCGATGTTCTTGAGTCACATGGGATCAGTTGAGATTCTTACCTCTCTATAAAGCTTTCATCATCTATTAAATGTTGGGGTAATGTTCGCCAGGGTCCTGCTTTTAAAAAGAAGGGGAACTGTGGGCATTTGTGGCAAAAGACCTGAGAGTGTGTGTAAATCATAATATTCATAGTAAAGAACATAAAAGGTTTAAACCCAACCTTAGCAGGCCCTGCGTTCTACAAGAACTGATCTGGAAAAGCAGGACACCTATAAGATTCCAATGAATTTTAGATATATGCTGTACTTTAACGTCTCTGGGCCTGCCCTCTTACTTAAAGGACGCATATTCGTCAATTAGAGAACATGTATTTGTTCTGCCACCTAGTGTCCAGCTCTAGAAATACTCAAGCTTGTGGGTCAGTTACAAGTGATGCATTGTTTGCTCTTTAAGTTCTTATAAACGCAGTTAGTGGTGTGGTTTAAGCTTCAATTTTATACTCGGGTAGGCCTCTGTTAGCAATAAGTTATACTCAGTATAAATCACACTGGTACTATAAGTGCTTTTGGGAATACCAGGGAATGGCTTATGTTTATTTTGTATCTCATCATATGTGGTATGGTGTTTGAATACAAATAAATAAAAAACGATAAGAAACTTCGACTGGACATGTTCTTGCAGACTTCTGAATTATACAAATACTCTTATTTGAACTAGTACTTTTAAGGAGTGCTAATAAGGATTTGTAGACTGGAGTCCTAAATTCCTTAGTTTATATTACAATCAAGCTACCCATACAAGAAAATGCAAGCCTTTTTTAGCTGTTGAACTCCTGGTATAAAATCAAATGCTTCTGCATGTGTGAATGTGCCTGTGTACTTCCCTGCCATGACTCTGGCTGCCACAGAAACCCTTCAGGTAGAAAGCACAAGTGGCTTCAAACTTTGTAGCATAAAAGAACTGGCTGTGCTGCACTCTGTGAACAGAGTAGGGCTGGGGCTGATGTTTAAGCCCTGGAACATTGCCCAGCTGATGCTAAAGGTGATTTGGTCCCTCTTGTTGTCCTGGTCCATCAGCTCTTCCTTGCCCTGTGCTTC